TTCGACTAGCCAGCCCAGCCTAATATCCGGAGACCTTATAGTCAAGCTGGATCGGGTGCTCAATGACAATATATAGGGATTAGCATTCTAATTTGAATTGGTAATGAACATAAATACATTTTTCAACTTCAGTAGCTAATTGTTAAATCTATCCAATTACAATGAATTTTGGAACTAATTGATCATTTGCATTGTCAAATAGAATAAGAATGGCATCACGAATATACAAGAACTCCATTAAATATCCTATTTGAACATAGTAAGGATATAAATGCTTTATATTAACTCTTTCAAATTTTTCGAATAACATCTAATTATTTATACGAGGACATCATTTCTTCATATGATCAAACTACATTATCTATATTCAACATAGAAAGTAATGATAACGTACAAATGCTGACCTTTCAATTTATGTTATAAATAATGACCCGATATATTCTACTTTACTAATTTCAGATCAGTATATACCTTATTTATATGCTCAAACTACGATATCCATGTTAATTAAATCCAAAAGATTAATGATAATATTTGTAATGCAGGGGTAGATGGGTCACATTGATGAAAGGTGAGAGCATTGTGTTTCATCATCTGCTCAAACAATGTTATCTATGACAAATACAAAAATAAATAATAACAGCTGTAATGAATGGTATTGTCAGGTCATACTTATTAAAAAAATAAGAGGAATATATCTTACTCATATACTCAAACTCATTGTCTTCGTCAAATACTGAAAAATTATTGAACAATTGTAATGATCAATGTTATTGGTTTACATTGGTAAACAAATAAGAGAAATGTTGTACTAATCCATTATATAAGAATATTCCTAGGCATTTTTCAAGTGCCCATTTATCTTTGCTTGTATATTATTTTATACTATAACATATTAAACAACTACAATTGCTTTTCAAAGTGTAATGGAACAAGAGGGGATAAGAGATATGCAATCCTTTGCAATGAATTAGGGTGAAATATAAAATGTTGACCTAATCATAGATAAACACCAAGTTAGTACATGTGTACTTAGGTGTCAAAGACATCGAAAATTGGCTTATTAAATTATATTTATAACTTCGAAATTATATAGCACTTTAGGAGACTTCAAGGGACATTTGGCCCAAGATTCACTTGAATGGCCACTTCTATATGGCTTACCATCCACTCAACCACACCCACTCCTCTTCAGGTTCCTTGTTCACATCTATACTATACTATGTCCGCATTAAATAAATAACGTTATATTCTTTTTTATCTATCATATACTTAGTGGTGGCAATGGATCGACCCAGTCACGAGCTCGGCTCGTCACTGTGACAAGCCAAGCTCGAGCCCGTTTGAGCACGAGCTGACTTTCAATGAGCCGAGCGGCCGAGCCCATGAGCCGCTCGGCCCATTTTCCACCACTACATATACTTGAGCAATAATTTTGAGTTAACAAATAATTAGGCTTCAATGATATACATGAAGTGTGAATGTAATCAAGGATGGGATCTTAGACTATGTTTTGAAAATTCATATGCAACTTCATACACCTTATAGTTTCATAGGACGAAAATAGATTTTTTGAAGACCTTATTCCCTAGCATAAATCTAATTGGTTTACTTGAATTGAACTAAAACAAATCCTTGTTAAGCACAAAAAAATAAAACAAAAACAGTTCCTAAATTCATTTTTGTGATTTTCTTATTTTTGGTTTTTGGGTTTCTAAAACCCCGAATGGATCAATTTTTTCATTTTTCTTGTACCTTTGTATTTTATATAGGACTTTAGATTAATTTTATAGAGAGTATATACATAAACAATGGTTATTGATCGTTGGTTATGTGACATCAATTGATTTATCTATCTAAATCTTACATTTTAGATGACAAATCAATTAATGTCAAGTGATGGAAAAGGTATGGATTGAATTGAATTATACCTTTGCTTTATTTTTTGACATAGAAATCCAAATTTCAGAAATTAAAAATTTTATTTCTTGCCTTATTTTTAAAAGAATTTTCAAAAAAATAGTATGTCATATTAAAAAGGATGAAAAATTCCTTGAGTATATGATTTTTGACAGAAATTTAAAATGCTTCAATCTTATCCGCGTGTGTGTATTTTCCGTCCTCCAATCTTTCAATCATTTCCCTTCATTTCAAATTTCTGTATGTTTTTTGTGAAAATTCATGTACTCATAGCAGGGTTCTAAAAAGAATATATTATCGTTGTTTGTTTTCTTAGTGCAACACCAAGTTACAAAAATGTCCCGAAAAAGTTATTACTTAAAGAAAAAGGACTAACATTTATCTCTTCTTTAGTGTTAGATATGAAACTTCTTCGATTCTTTCAAGCAAACCATCAAGGTATTTTTGGTCATTAGATGGTGTATCATATAAATAAATGAAATCAAGGAAAATAGACATACACTATATTTTACTAGTTACTATATTCAATCTTATTCAATTTGACATGAAAAAAAATTATAAATATTTTATTTAAAAAATCTTATCAGCCTATTCTTGATCTGATGGGTTATGTGCGACGGGGTCAGGTTAGAAAATTGTTCATTAACACTTAGGTCTACAAAATCAAGAACATGGTAGTTAGCACAAGCATTGATGCAACCAATACCCTCTATTAAATCTATGCGTGGACAACCGAAAACAATAATTTATTGTTGTTATGGTCTCTTGTATAAGGGCAGATTGTCGAGGAACCAGAATATCTCTTTCTTCTAGAAGATAATATAAACAAATAGGGAATATACTTAACCAATGAAATCACAACTTACTACCACATTATCAACAATCATTTATGGATTATAACTAATAATAATAACAACGAATTATACCAAGAATATTCTTGGATGGGGGCCAATTATTAATTTATCTTGTATTAGGGTTTTGTAATCTAAGAATTTCCTCCACGAAGACAATGGAACAAGTTTTGTCTTTTGCGTTTGCTGGCTTCTAGCATCGTTAGGTTGTCTTTCGAGTGGTAGCTGCCGTGTCTTGAGTTTGGAATTCATGATAAAATATGAGAAGGTTAGATGATATTAACTTTAATTATTATAATGTTTTAGGTAGGGTGAATTAGACTGTATTGAGCAGTCTTAAATCAAAAAATGAATTCTAACGTTACACTACTATGTACTGAACATATTTTTTACCATTTATTAAAGGAAAAGAGTTTTTCAAATGTCACAATTTAAAATTTAGGGAACTGGAGATATCATGATTCAACCGGGACTTACCAACATTCATAGTTCCTGAAAACCCCCCTTTGAGTTTCATGTTATCACGTGGATTTACCCTAATGGCCTAATCAAATACCTTGTAATATGGGTTGGTAAGGGTAATTTCTTCTTGACTTCAAAGCATTAACCTCCCAAAACTTCAATAACACAAATATATTTGCGAAGAATTTGTGTGCAAGATCATGTAAGTTTCATTCATAAAATTACACAAATACAACGTTCAGAAATTATAATTCTACGTTGAACTCTCACAGAAGTTGACTTAATGAACTATTTCCTATGCAATCCTCATCCCTTTCTTTCATTTTTTTTGTCCCCGTGTAGCTGAATGGGGTAGGGACGTAAAGGAGATCTTTTCAACTTGTTGAGTTTCAAATCAAATAGAAGAGCAAAGAATAATGTTTTGTAATACTATTTGGGCTTAACATCGATTTTTCAGGTGGCCGTGGAGTGGAGTGGAGTCGTGTTTCGATCTCTAATAAATCAAAATGCAACTAACTTCGCCCTTGTTTGGGCTCCATTAAAATCAAAATTTGAGAAAAATGTATTTTGAAATAGTAATTTTTTTTTAAAAAAAAATGTGTGCTTAGAAAAGAAAGGAAGAATTTTAGATTTACGTGTAATATTATTTAATTGAAAATGTGTGGTTAAAAAAAAATTCATTAAAATTTTAATGGAACCCACATAGGAGCTTCGTTAGTGACGTAGTGGACCCGACTACCGCCGGACACACAACTAGTGGTACTACTTATCATTACACAATGGTAAATGATGTCACTTCTGATTTTTATTTTATTTATATGTATATTTTTTTAAAAAGCTATGTTATTTTGAAGGACTGCACGTCTGGGACCGAATTTATAGAAATAAAGTCTGTTTAAATATATTTCATTGTACTAATTTCTGAGTTACCAAAGAAGAGCTCTCAAAGCCAAGATCTCAATGAAAATGCATACGAGTTTTGCATATAGACGGTAAAGGAAATAGGTTCATTTGCGCCAGCTTTTGTTGTATATTATACCTACTTTGCTTTCTCCACGTAATTCTTGAAAAGGAATAGTAGATATCCTACAAGCCTGAGCAATGACAATAAATTAATATTAATTCCAATAATTTGTTTGGCCAAATTTATATTAATTTCTCCGTCTACATTAAAACAATTTATTCTGAAGCTTTGCTTTAAAAAGTTTGAAGTTGTCAAGTTTTGTAGTATGTATGTACATCACGTTACAAAAGAGGCACGATTCAAATAAATCTCTTATACTACTAATTTATAGAAAAATTGCCGGTCCCTATTGACACTTTTATACTAGTCTCCGGGGTTATCATCATCTTGACTTTATCCGGGCGAAATTAGGATTCCGATTGAGTTGGCATGCAACTCGACATTTTAGAAAGGTGATGGGCGCGGGGATAACAATTATAACTCTCATTTAACTGATTGTGATGCATGATGGGAAGTGTCTAACAAATCTTTGCCTGTTGATACAGAATTATAAATAATTAAGTAAGCTTCAATCAAAACTCTTATTCCATTTATAGAATCAAAATCAATGCTTAGTCTGGTAATCTTATTTGACAGTTACTATCACGTCCATGCCTCCGACGTGTAAATTACAAAATAAACAGTGGAATATTGTTGAAAAATAGCGAAGTAAAGGGACCAAAATCGACTATCTTTTTTCTCTATTGTAATACTTCAAGACTTCACTAGTAGTTGTTACAAAACTTACACATTTTCACAGGAAATCAGTGAGTCGACAAGGTATTGGTAGTATGAGTGGAACAGGAGCCGGCCGGGGAATGAGAGTGAAAATCTCCACCTTCACTATGGCTACCTCGGTCATCAGAATGTTGCTGCCTCTGTTTAGGGGATGTTGATGCTCCTGGGAAGGGTGGTGGTAGTTTAGCAATTGGCGTGTAGATTCTATTAGATGTGGTTGAAACACCAGACGCCTCCCCAGACGCGCTGGTTGTAGCCATTGCAGCATATTCTGGTGGTGGCACCCATATTCCTCCCACCACAACAAACTGGGGTTGCTGTGGATTATTGTTACCGTGTATTGAGTGGTTTGGCGATCTTCTTGTGTGCAACCGATATTTCTGCAATTCATAACATGAAAATTTAGGTGATTCATGCTTAATTTTAAGACTTAAGATTGGGAAAAAAGACGAAAAAAAAAGTTCTGGAATTAAGGTGTCAACCATGTTAAGAGCTGCAACAAAATATGAGTTAGATGGAGTGAAAATATGGCTAAAAAAGTTTAATTAGTTTTTTTTTGTCAAACTTCTTGTGAGTTGATGTAAATCTATCAAAAATATTCGTTGATTTTAATACACCGTACAACACATATTTAGGAATTACCAAAAAAAATCTGTTCAATCCGACACTCGTGGGGCATGCCAGGTAAATGGGGTCGAGACAGGAAGAGAGTAATTGTCCTGAAGCGGGTACCAGAAATATAGTCACTGGCCCGGACTTGTCCTGGCTAAAGTTAATTTCAAAGTATTTTATCAAAAAAAATAAAAGATTTATCAACATTTTTAAAGAGAACATAAGTTATTCTTAACAAATTGAAAAAAAAAATAATATTTACTAACTAAAAAATAAAAAATAAGTTCTTGTTTGGTCCGGATTAAAATCTGATTTTAAATCAAGTCAAAGTCAAACAATCAATATTAACCACATCTTTTATGGGTTCCACAACTTTTCAACCACACATTTCAAAAACTTCTATTACAATCCAATAAAAATTTAATTTTAATACCTACCAAACACTCTCTAAATAAAAAAATAAACGGGGCTATAAATGGGATTGAGAACCTACCCCATCCCGTCTCTCTTTAAACGAGTATGAGAACAGGGTAAGGTGATAAAAATATCTGACGGGATGGGAGTGGTCAACCCCGTTTCATACCCTTTTTGTTGCCATCCCTACATAGATTAGAGAAATCTAAATTATAATTAATATTATTCGTGTTCCAATTGGGTAGTTGATTTTAATTAAACCCGATTAAAGTGAATGGCTGACTTAAAATCTTATCAAATTCTATGGGCAGAATAAATATATGCTATCCCCATTCAGAATAATCACATAATTGAAATGTTCTATCAAATCAAGAATGTCATATCCCAAGAACAGTACAAACCTGTAAATGACTTTTTACTTCATCATTAGTGAGCCCATCAACCTTCATGAACTCTCTAATTTGTTTTGGTGTAGCAGCTGCATAAATCAAATCAAATCCAATCCAATCCAATCCAATATTAAAAAGAATAAAAATAAAAATATCNAAAAAAAAAAAAAAAAAAAAGATAAAAAAAATCACATCTTTATCCAAATTACACAACCCCAAAAATATTGAAAATAAAGAAGAAAAAACATAATATTGTAAAATATTAAAATTACCTCTTCCGGGGTTGGATCTGGGGTTTGGTTCCAAAGCCCAACAGATCTAAGCCAATCTGATTTCTTGGAAGATTTCTCATCAGTATTCTTGCTATTCTTATTATTTGGCTTTTGGGATTTTTCTTCATCATCATAATCAGAAGTGGATAAAGCTCTCTTTATAGGAATAAACTCCTCCAAGATTGGCCCTTCACTTGATATTTGCTCAGAACACTCAGATTCCCCATGTAAATTATACTCAGTACTTGTACCAGATAATTGCTGCTTGCATGCCTCAATTGCTGCAAAAAATAAAAAAAATAAAAAATCACATCTTTAAATCGGAACGGAGACAGAAATTTAATCTAGTTAGACGAGCCTTCACGTACATACCTCGAGTGACAAGCTCAAGGCAAAGGGGGAGTTCACGTTGGAAAACTTGAATCTTTTTATGCTCTTCTTGTAAAGCATGGATATAATCTTGACATTTTTGCATTTTATCAGAATAATCACTGTGATTATTGCTATTGATCATCGTTTTTTTTCCTTTTGAGTCACAAAATTGTCTATATCTTCTCTCTCTTACATTCTTCTATTAAAAGGGGACCAATACATAGAGAGATCCGAATGGAAAATGAGAATAAAGGGATCCAAGTAGAATAACCAAATAGAATAAACTTGGTTCACAAAAAACTGTCTGTACGTGTGTGTGTGTATGATTTAAGTTAGATGTACATCCTTGATGTCAACTAAGGATGACATCCTCCTAGGTGGAAGGTATCTAAAAAATGATAAGATTGACGTGTTTACGATCAATGAGGTAGATTGTTGTCACACGAAAATTGTCTAATCTGCCGTCAATTATGATGTACATGTGCATGATTGGTATATATATGTAGTCACTATTTGTCTATCATTATTTCGAAAAATGGTTTGCTACAGTAAGAATTTTCACCGCACATTGATTCAATAAAATATTCTACATACAAAAATCAATAAAGTTATTTTAATTTTTAACCATACATTCTCCAAAAATACTATTCATTACTCAAGTTTTCTCCCATTAATGGGAGACAAACACACCTTTAGACATAGCTAATACACCCTTTCAGCGTTATGATGTTTTTAAAAAAATCACTAATCTTTTCGACTCTTGATTTAAGTATCGTGTGCATTCTCTGATCACTTTTTGAGCCATATATTCATTGTATTCTTCGCCTCTATTTGAGTTACATTAAAATTTTCATTTTTGTTCTTCTACTCTTTTTTAATCACACATTTTTCACTAAAATAAACATCATATCAATAATTTTTCTTTCTTTTTCAACCACATATTCTCCATCAATCTACTATTCCAAAATACATTCTTCCAAAATAATGTGGCTAAAAAATGTTCGCCAAACTTATTATCGAGGAATGAATGTATTTTATTATATATTGGAACATCACATAACAATTATGTTTAGTTTTACCAATTTCAAATTTAAGAACTTAAGTTTAAAATTTCAAATTTCAGATTTTTTTAAATTTTATTTATAAATAAATTAATTAGAAATATATTTTATTAAGGGTAATTATATTACCACAACAAAATTTTATTGTTACACCACAATTTTAATCAAATTTTTTATTTACTTAAATCACCTTAAGTAGAATTACTTTATTACCCACAATGTTATATAAATTCTTAACATAAACATTTTTTCTTTAAGGATACACCACAATCATGTTCTTTTCTATTTGAATCTTCTTCAAACCAATTATTCCATCTTGCTGACATTCAAACTCCATAAAAGTATCTGTCTTTCTTGATGAATAATGCAACCATTCAAAAACACAGTCTTGCCCATATACTTGAAGAAGTTTTTTTTTTTATCAATTCACTTTAAAAAGTTAATTTCTCCTTCAACTGACAACTCCTGTACCACCGCGGCCACTTCCATCTTCTCCCTCAACATTTTAATGAAGGAGAAGAAAGAGGAATGACAAATGGGGAATTATTTAAACTTTGAATAAATAAGTTAGATTCTGGACAATATTCTGGCGACGAAAAAGATCTGCCCAATCAAGGAAATCAAATGCCCAATTCTCATCAGAAGCACCGCCAAGTCGGAGCACCTCCACGCCGGTGTTCCGATGACCATCTCCGCCCACGCACCCAAGTGCCCATATATCAGCAGGCGCATCCTGCTCGCCTCCGGCGACCATCATTCCACCACTACCCTCGCACTCCCAAGGCATGCACAGATAAGGAAAAATAAACAAAAGAAAGAAGTGAATGTATTTATAAACTGGAAAAGTGGATTCAGTTCTTGAGACATTGGTACAAAACAGAATATCGTTAATGTATTTTCGGAAACTGCTCCTTTTTTCCCAAGTTGTCAAAGATAAAACTTTGTTATGGCATTTTGGAAACTATATTGCAGACTCACGGGTCTGCAAATTACCAACAAGGAAAAAGAAAAAAAGATTATCTTGCTCTCATAAATCTGGAGCCATTTGTGGCAGGAGAAATATGGAGAGGATGAGTACACCACAAATTGTATTTTGTTTTTTTATTTTTAGTTTATATTGTATTAGGGGTATAACTGTTAATTTGTTGTGGTGCATTTATTAAAAATATATTTTAATTGTGGTGTGATTATAATGTGGTGTAGTTATTAAATTTTGTTGTGGTAATATAATTACCCTTTTATTAATTAAATATATTAAGGTCACAAAATTCATATGATTGGTCACATATTATTCATTAGTCACAAATCACAAATTTTATATGTCACAAATTATTTTACGATCACGATTCAAAAATTTTATAGGTCATAATTTATTTATCGGTCACAAATCATAAATTTATATGTCACAATTTATTCATCGGTCACAAATCTATCAAATTAATAAGTTACATATTATTCATTGCTCACAAATTACTAATTTTATATGTCACAGTTCTAAAACTTTATAAATCACAATTTGTTCACTAGTCACAAATCAAAAATTTATACGTCACAATTTATTTATTGGTCACAAATCACAAATATTATAAGTCACAACTTAGTAGACAGTCACAAATTGTCAAATTATCGATCACAAATTAAATTTTTTTTAGGTCACACATTATTTTTTGGTCACAATTTATCTTTTTCATTGGTCACTTGTTGTTTATTGGTCACTGGTCAACCAATTTAATAGTCACAATCAACCAAATAATTTGTGACCATAACCAACACTTATGACCACCACTCCCTTCGACAGCACCACCGCCACCATAACCACCGCCGCACCACTTCCCGACAACAACACAAACACCTCAAAAAAATCGACACATCACAGAAAAACACAACCACATCATCACGTCATTCCACCACTACATCACAAATCCAAATAATTAATCACAAACACCGTTTGTCCCACTCCGTCACCGTCGCTGTCACTGCCGCCACTCAACCAACAACCAAACCACAACCATCTCAAACCAGAACCACCCTTTCTTTGCTCTGATAGATCGTCGCAATAATGTCAAACAAAACCACCCCTTCTCTTCTTTGACTCCAATCTGCAGCAACCAGTACCATCACTTCTCTACTCCGACTTCGATCTGCAAATCCCCCATCGAGGACGTCCCCTATTCCGATCCGCACTGCCTACAACCCCAACCAGCTATGACCAGAGAAAAAAATGGAAGAAAAGGACCCCGATCTGCGGCGGCGGACAACGGTAGCAGTCACTCCCCATATGGCGACGGAGATACTGGCACCAGACGGCCTAAATTCCTCCGACCCACCACTACGACGACGACATTTCCAGACCCACCACCAATCGAACATCCTACCACTACTCACACAACCTCGGCTACCAACGCTGCCAATATCAACCCAGGCCCTAGCCTAGCCCCCAAACGCTAGCGTTGCCCCAGCGTCCGCGTAGGCGAGATCGGTGGAGGCCCACCTTATGACACCAAGAGAGTGAGAAGACGGTAGAGAAGAGAGGAGACCGAGAGAGAGAGAGAGAGAGAGAGAGAGAGGAGGAAGAAAATTGGATTGGGATGAAATTGATTAGAGTTTGGGATGAAATATCTTATTTTTGAAAAGTGAAACTTTGTATCTGAAATTTGAAGTTGAATCTTAAAAATTCTGGTTTTGTGTAATTCCCACTTAATTTTGCCTATGTTACAAAAAGTGGGTTAATGTTTGTGAATGATCTTGTTTTGATGGAAACTCGAAAAGGCTATGAATTTGAAAGATCTTAGCCTGATGGTCAGTCTATAAAATATGTATATAGTCAGTCGAGATAAAATATCCTCTCCATGTTACCCCCATCCAATTGGAGCCAATTTTGTTTATTCTCAAGGATTGGATTTGAAATGTTTGGGACGTTGGCATGTTATTTCAGGAAAGACTAGGATAACAACACGTCTAAATTATTTATAACCCTTTACATATAAGGATTTGATACGTTGAATGAGACGTGTTGTTTTAGGCAAGACTAGGACGATAGCACGCCTTATCTTCTTTTTTTTTGCCGTTCATAGATGAGGACAAATTTCAATAGATTAAATAAATGAGCATCTGAGGTGTTTATTTGTCGTCTTTAGTTGATTCAATATATTTTTGAAATGCTTTAGGCATATCCCCTTCAAGGCCTTGAAAGGTATTATTCTTAATTCCTCAAATGTGCCCCCGCTTTTTTGAATTGATTAGGTACAATCACTTTATCAATAGTAGTTTCAATGCACGTAACGAAAAAGATCATTGGATATATTTGCTCCAATAGATGAAACGCAACATGCCTATACAGTGGAAAAAGAATTTGAAGGGCGGCTAATGAGGTCCCACTGCCAATTTATCCATGTGAAGTGCCACTCCAATCCTTTTTCAAGCTAACTTTATTCAAAGTTCTTGATTAAATATTAAAGTTTCTATTTATTGAGCAAACACTGTGCTTGTATCCATTAATACAAAACTGATACTAGGGTTTTGTCTCATTACAGTGGCCCTCTTCCATGTGATAAAAAAAGTCTATCACCATTTTATGATATTACTAAATCTAAAAGTAGTAGGTTGAGTGAGATTCTAATTAATAAGCCATCAAAACATCTCTTTTTAAGAATGTCATGAGATAAGGTAACTCGAGAATTTAGAAAATTATCATGAACGTTGTGAAGTACACTATGAAGGCATGAAGGATTGTTGGATCCCAAGTTTCAATCTTGCGAGTGATGAAATATGGGGTGCGTCGAAAAATTGCCTCTCTCATAGTAGAGGAGTTAAACATGGGCAAATCAAATATATATATTTCACAACATTCCTCTCCTACCAATGAAAATAAAAAGTCTGACTAGAAGACATGGTAGTCAACGATCTTAGAAAAATATATTGTTAAAATTCACTCGTTTCTCACTTTTTTTAGAAGTGTTGGGCCGATGAAATATGTATTTTTTTTCATGTTATTCTCTCAATCTTCATCTAGAATTCAAAAAGGAAATAGTCTTATTCCAATGGTTGGTCTGTATAATATGTATATAATCAAGATCTAATC